TCAAGGCTGCAGTGAGCTATGATCACTGCAACACTTCTGAGTTGTCTTTATGTCTTGAAAATTATTTCCATTGATAGATATTTCAAATTAGCAATGCAGGAAAATAGAAAAAATATATTTCAGATAAATATAAGTTTAACAAATTAGGGTATGTGAGGTACATTTCCAAATGGGAACAATCTATCAGGCTGTTTTTCTGGACCATAGGGCCAAATACCTTTCTGCCAACAATGTGTTTGGGTCTGGTTTTCTTCCACTGGCAATTATCCCCTTTCCAGCTCATGCCCCTTGGAGGCTTTCATGTTTCCCAGCACTCCACTAGGGCTTGCCAATTTGGACTCTGTCCCTATCATTTACCAGGTGGGAGATCTGCCTTTTTTCTGAAAGCCAAAAACACTCATCTGGCTCCTTGCACCTTTTCTGTTCAAAATAAAAGCTGCTTACATCCACATCTCCACGTGTAAGATGCCAAGTTCTGGCTTTCTGTCTATAATTATGTCTTGGCCATGATATGAAAGAATATTTTTAATTTTCTTGTTCATGTGGAACTAGCCCTCCTGACAAAGACCTATTGAAAGGGCGAAACATTCCAAAACAGTATAAAGCGCTCTTAAAGAGGTTAAATTTGTGACACTAAGAATCATCTATAGTCATATTAGTAAATTCAAGTAAGAGTAATGTATTTTTCCTACTAATTCATTACTTTGCTACTGACAAGGTTATCAGCTGGTTTTGTAAAGTAATTATAAGATGTTTGGATGTAACCGGCTGTGACACTGTTTTCAGGGGACCTGTAGAAGAATCTTGCATTTGTGTGATTGCTTCATGCATAAGTAATTATAAAGGCTCTGTACTTTAACGAGTACTTTGGCAATACTGTCATTTGTCATCCAATGGGGACACATTCCCTGAGAAATGTATCCTTAGATGATTTCATAGTGTGTAAACATCCTAGAATGTGCTTACACAAAACTAGATTTATAACCTTTTACACACGTAGGGTACATGGTAAAGCCTATTGCTCCTAGGCTACAAATCCATACAGCGTGTTACTGTACTTAATACTGTAGGCAATTTTAACAAAATGGTCTTTGTGTACCTAAACATAGAAAGGTATACTAAATACACAGTATCCTACAAACCAGCATGGCATATGTGGTCCTCTGTTGAACCAAATGTTATTATGGGGTACACGACTACATATCTAAAGCAACATTCATTAAAAAAAAAAGTATAAGTGACAAAACAGATGTTAGACCAACTTACTTTATATTAATTGTGCGCTGCTGATCCTCCTGCACTCGAGTTGGGCATCGCCAGTTGGAACAGTAACTCTCTTGAATGGTAGACATGAGATTTTCAAGATTTTTCGTAAAATTATCATGCTCATTCCCAAACAAATCAATGATTAATGAAGCTTTATGGACTTCAGATTTGTATTGCTGTTTTTCCATCTTGTCCCAAATCCAAAGTAGCTTCACAGTTGTAAAACTGTAGGTGTCCATTAAATAAAGAAAACAGTCTACAAACTCTCTACCAAAATGAAGAGAGAGTTCCCTAGGGAAATTTTCATTTTCATTAAGAATGACATATAATAACATCAAGAATCCATCTATGGTGCAGGTATTTTTCAGTCTTATTTCAACATACAGCGGTGTACAGGATACTGCTTTGCGGCCAGCTTTGATAGTAAAAACACCCCCCCAAGGAAGAACAGGCCTCCAAAATGATCGATCTTGGTTATAGTTATTTTTAATTGATGCTTTGATCTCTTCAAACAGTGTCTTCATCCTACATTTTAAAAGTTTAAAACAGAACACATAAACTTGTAACTTTGCATATTAAATGCATAATATGTTTAAATGAAAATAAATCTATCTAAAGACTCAAATCAAATGTGTTATTAGGCCTCCCAACATAGCAAAAAAATTTAAATGAGCCACTTTTTGGGCACTATGCATGCTCTCTGGAAAGAGCATTTAAGAAGTTTCAGTCTTTTTTTGAGGTACAGATGGCCATTTGATAGTCTTTATATCAATTACATTGCAGATTTTATCTGTGACAGAGGGAAACCCTGTAATAAAAAAAAAATCCTGAGGCCAGGTGTGGTGGCTCACACCTGTAATTCCAGAACTTTGGGAGGCCGAGGTGGGCAGATCACCTGAGGTCGCAAGTTCAAGACCAGCCTGACCAACATGGAGAAACCCCATCTCTATTAAAAATACAAAATTAGCTGGGCGTGGTGGCACATGCTTGTAATCCCAGCTACTCAGGAGGCTGAGGCAGGAGAATCGCTTGAACCTGGGAGGCAGAGGTTGCGGTGAGCCGAGACTGCACCAGCTGAGATGACGCCATCTCGTTCCAGCCTGGGCAACAAGAGTGAAACTCCATCTCAAAAAAAAAAAAAAAAAAATTCCTAAATGAAACTAAAGCTATTAAAAACATAAATTAAGTTTGGCTAGGCATATTCCTAATGTAAACCTCCTCCTCCTTCCAAAATATAGGCTGTGCTTGCTTCATTTTCTTGTTAATATGGGTGGTTCCATTTAAGAAACTAATATAATGGGATCTCTTAATTGGGGGTACAGAATAATAGCTATTCCGTAATCTTTGTATTAACTATACTACATATTTTATCTGTTGTATAGAAAAACTATGTTTAAAAAAAAAAAACTCCTGTTACTATATAGACTAAGACTAATTCTGACATTTAGCTTTGAAGGACAGCATGAGGAGTAATCATGAAATCAATCTTAAGTGAATAGTAGCATAGCTAATATCGCTAATTACTTTGGGATTTTTATGTGCAACTCAGAATTGTGCTATTAATTGTGCAATTTAGATATACTATAATTTTTAACTACAGAGGCTATGCTATGAAGATCTGATTCAGAACTTGATAAATACCCTGATTATTTTCTATGCATGTTTTGGGAATGAACCAAAGCATCCTCCCTTTTCAAACTGGCACTTTTCCCCCTCTTGACCACTAGGCACTTTGTTTTTAAAGCCACGGTGAGTATTTTCATAAATATGTTGTGTTATATGTATGTTACATAGCGCACATATTTTTGAAAGAAATGAGTTCTTTTTGCCATTGTATTGAAAAAACTCCTTCACTTTACTTGGGACAAGCAAATAAACTAACAACATCATAATTTTTTCCAAGGTTACTTTTGTGGAGAAGTATTGTTATGAAAAAAGGGAGGCATCTGAGGAGCGGAAACAGAGAAATGAGTGACTGAGATCAGTGTCTTATTTTGACCATCTTTTCAAGTGCTGCATCCTCCCCAACACAACATGAACTCAACACTTAATAAAGCTGCAGTCCTACGTGTTTTATTTGTGTAAGAAACTAAGTTCAAAACATTCTGCAACACGAGTAAAAATTCACTTCTGCAATATATTAAACACACATGAACACAGTGCTTTCAGTTTGAAGCAAGACATTGTGGACTCTAAAATATCCAGTAACTATATTTAGTATGAAGAGTGGAAGTTTATATCTAGTTGGCCAACACATTGATTCTAGTCATCCACTTAGGAAGAAGAGGGTGTGGCAAATCTGTAGCCTAGGAAAACACAAACTCAGTTTCTTCTTAATAGAAACTGACACGTTTTGCTTACAAATATTTTAAAAAAACAATTAGGCATTCAAATACTTTAATAAACGAAAACAACTTTATGGTTTGATTTATTCCCGTTGAATTTCAAAGAACTCTGTAGAAAGGTTTAAGATTGCTTAAAGAGCCTGAGTTCAGATTCCTAAAATAGTGCATTGGAAAGGAAGCATAAATCTCTAGGATATTTTCTTCAAATTATCTTTAGACATGACCAAATGAAGTGTAACTAGCTCTGTAAAGCAATAGTTACACTCTAAGAGAATTAAACTATAATGATATATATGGCATGAAACTCCAGTGTTTCTCTGGGAAAAACGGGAGGAGGGAAGGTTTGGAAGAACTAGAGGATACTAGTTTCATCATGAACTTGGTGATTTATTCCAAAGTAAATTGCAATAAAAATGGGGGGTGGGGAGAAATGATGGAAAGATAGCTGTAAAGAGCTTTACTTAAAATTGTCTTAGCTGTTTAGCTAGGAACTGTAATTGGAAGGACTGGAGGATGTATTCCACTGGCTTTATTCTCCAGGCTCAACGGGCCCTCCAATTTGAATAAATCTGGAAAACTCTCCCGACCTCTATTTCTTTGGCAAAACATCTTTCTTTCGTGGTGACTTCCAAGGGAGGCAATCGGTACCCCAAGGTAGCTGTGAGGACCCCACCACCTGCCCAAGGCATTGAATGCCAGACTCCCTAAGGACTCAGGGGTTCTAAAGGTCCCCTCTCAAATCAGAGCCCGAAATACGCCTCAAAAATACAACCAAGCGCTACCACTCCCGGCAGCGCAGGGCTTCCGGACAGGAGCAAGACAGACGCGAGGCGTGCGCCCCCGGGGAACCCCCACGCTCCGGCCACGCCCACCCTGTCCCTGGGCAGCCGCGCCCGGGAGGCCTGGCACCGAGGCGGGCGGGTCTCCGAGTTAGGGGCCCGCGAGTCGGCTGGGCGCCCCCGCGTCTGTCCGGGCAGTGCCCCGCCGAGTGCTCAGGACTGCGGGCAAACGGGCTGGAGGGCCGGGCCGCGGAAGGCGTTCTCACACCGGCCAGTCTCCGTCCACCAGGAAGCCAACTCCTCGTACCTCCCCGGGGACCGAAAACCGCCGGTGCCGCCGCACCCGCCGCCGCCGCCGCCTGCTCATGGAGAGCCCGGGCTGCTGCCGCCGCCGCCGCCGCCGCCTCATCTATGAGTTCCGCCGGCTGTCTCGGCCTCCCCCGGCGTGAGTTCTGGGCTCTGGCACGGCCTCCATGGCACCTGCTGCGGCGGGAGCCACAGCAGCTCCAGCGCCCAGGCCCAATCCCCCTGGACCCACGGAGCCAGGACAGCGGGACACGTCGCTTCTTATTACGGAGAAAGATACGGCACGACCTCCGCCCCCTCCCCCCAACCCCCCCGTTTCCAGCCGCCTGACAGCGCAGCTGCGCAGGCGCGAAGACGCCCCAGCCTAACGTGCGTGTGTCGGGTGTGTATACAGCATCCAGATTCGCCCAATGGGATCCAGGATCAGGTGTGGGGGGCGGGACCTCGCAGAGAGGGGCGGGGTTCCAGTGTTAGAAGGTGGGTGGGGAAGCCGGAAGTGGGCAGGGTTTGCACGGAGGCGGAGCTTTATTGGCAAACCTGATTGGCTTTTTGAGGTTTGTACCATTTTAGGACTTCATTTTAGTTTGCTTCTGGGTTTTGTTTTCTCAGATTCTTAACCGAGAAAGAAAGCTTTGTTTTCTCAGTAAATTACAGGTTTTTAAGCTTTTGATTTAAGTATTTACTTAGCAAACAGTTTAATTAATCTGTTAAATGCCAGCTTTAGTGTTCAAGTTAATTATTGGCCAATATGCTGTAATTTACAGTGAAAGTTAACCCCATTTTGAAAAATTAGATTGCTTTAATTCCATTGTAAAGTTGAAAAAATTGGGGTTGGGAGGTAATAAGGTCCCACACAGCAAGTGACAGAGCTGGAAATTAAAGTTAGTACAACTTAATGCTAGTTTGTGGGCTCAACCACTATTTCTGTTCATTAGGGCCTAGTTTTCGTATCTCCCATAAAGAGGCAAGGCCCTATATGGCTCTGCATCTGGAGAATACATGCCACCCTGCAAAAACTACCTCTGCTTGTAAGTAGGCATGGAGATCTGGTTGAGATTTTTCCCTATCTAGCCTTTCAACAAATAATGAGAGTCTGGAAAGTTAGCTCTAACCTTCAGAACTCATGAGGGCTGATGAGAGAGCTCAGGGCCGTCCTAGTGAATCACTGTGGTTCTCAGTCACAGGCTGAGCCTGGAAGAAGCTGGATGCCTTCTTGACCAGTGTGATGATCGGCCAAAGCTATGGAGGGAAACTTCCTCATGGATCTGTCTAAAAAAGTCTAGAAATGGAAGAGAGACATCCATTTCTTGAGTTTTGGCTGTGCCCAAAAAAGAATAATTAATAGTTCTGGCAAAGCCTGCTCTTTTTGGTTTCCTGTTTTTTCTTATTTCTTATGGTGTTTTATAGATGAGAAAACTGAGGCTCTTAGAGATTAAACAAACTAGTGTGTTGGAAAACTTGCAAAAATTCACTCTCAATATTAATCCTATCCAACAGGTAGAAAAACCCTTTAACAATGTTTGTAAATGTGGATTATGTGTTTAATTATAAATCCCTCACAAGACATGGAGTTCATTTTATACTGATTAGGTCATTCTCTTCCTGAAAACAGCCATAATATGGTGGATGACACCATTTCTGGAAAATAGTATTGAGATTGCTCGTTAAACTCTGCCGAGTCTCAGCTAACTGAGGGAAACATGGATTCCTTGAATACTTGGATAATTCACAAACATCACTGAGGCCTTTAACTGAAATTTCCATTCTGCATCATTTCCACTGTCTTCAAAATCTGACATCTAAGTTGTAGGGTTTTTTTAGATATCTTTACTGAAGTATAATTGGCATAGAATATATAGAGCATACTTAAAGTGTATAATTTTATCAGTTTTGACATATGTATACCCCCTTGAAACCATCACTGTAATCAAATGAGTATGTCCATCACCCTTAAAGTTTCTGCGTACCTACTGCCCTCCAACTCCGCCTTTTTTTTTTTTTTTTTTTTAGAATTTTTTTTTCTTTTTTTTTTTTTTTTCCAGAATCCTGATCTATTACCTAGGCTGGAGTGCAGTGATATGATCTCGGCTCACTGCAACCTCCGCCTCCCTGGATCAAGAGATTCTGGTATCTCAGCCTTCCAGGTAGCTGGGATTACAGACATGCACCACCATGCCTGGCTGATTTTTGTATTTTTTGTAGAGGCAGAGTTTCACCATGTTGGCCAGGCTGGTCTCGAACTCCTGACCTCTGGTGATCTGCCCACCTTGGCCTCCCAAAGTGCTGGGATTACAGGCGTGAGCCACGACACCTGGCCCTCATTCTCTTAACAGTGTATTTTGAAGAGAAGTTTTAACTTTTAATAAAGTTTAATTTATTTATTATTTTATGGATTGCATTTTTAGTGTTGTTTCTAAGAAATTTTTCCCTACCCAGGCTCACAAAGAAATTTTCCTATGTTTTCTTATAAAAGTTTTACATGTTCAGGCTGTACATTTAGATCTATGATGCATTTTAGTTAACTTTCTTACATGGTTTGAGGCATGTATCCAAGTTCATATTTGACGTATGGATACTCAATCATCGCAGCAATTTTTTTTTTAAAAGCCTGTACTTTTTCCACTGGATTTTTTTTTGTGCTTTTGTCAAAAATTAGTTGCCCACCCGGGTGCAGTGGCTCACGCCTGTAATCCCAGCACTTTGGGAGACTGAGGCAGGCAGATCACAAGGTCAGGAGATCGAGACCATCCTGGCTAACACGGTGAAATCCCGTCTCTACTAAAAATACAAAAAAATTAGCTGGGCGTGGTGGCAGGTGTCTGTAGTCCCAGCTACTAGGGAGGGTAAGGCAGGAGAATGGCGTGAACCCGGGAGGCGGAGCTTGCAGTGAGCCGAGATTGTGCCACTGCACTCCAGCCTGGGCAACAGAGCAAGTCTCCGTCTAAAAAAAAAAAAAAAAAAATAATTTATAAACTATTTATTATCAATCGTCAACCATATGTCACACAGTATGCTAGCACTGGAGATATGTATCGGTAAGTGTTCTTTGGTTGCAAAGACTAGAGACCAATATTGTTAACTTAATTAGGACATTTATTGGAAGGAGGAGTGATATAATAGAATTAAAGAAAATTAAAATGTATTGGAAGGATGTGAGGTATAATAGAATTAATTTAAAGAAAATTCAAGAAAAGAAAATACAGCTGGGCATGGTGGCTCATGCCTGTAATCACAGCACTTTGGGAGGCCAAGGTGAGAGGATTGCCTGAGCCCAGGACTTCTAGACCAGCCTACGTAGCAAGACCTCATTTTTAATAAAAATCAAAAGTATTAGCCGGATGTGATGGCACGTGCCTGTGGTCCCAGCATCTTCAGGGTTAAGGTAGGTGGATGGCTTGAGCCCAGGAGGTTAAAGCTGCCATAAGGTTTAATCATGCCACTGCACTCCAGCCTGGGCAACAGAGTGAGACTGTCTCAAAGAAAAAAATAGAAAAGACAAGACAAAAGACAAGACCTTGATTGATAAAGGGGGGAGGTGGTTTCCCAAAGGACGATGAAGACCTATTAACAGAAGAAGAAAAAATAGTGCTAGGGAGATGTCTGCTACAGTAATGTGTCCAAACTTTTAAAAAGTCCATACATGGTAAATGATGAGAATCAGGCAATGTGTGAGGATAAACTGAGGGATATGCGTAAACTGATGTCTCTATGAGGTGTGGCAAAAAATTTACATATTCTTTATGTCCTTGTAAGAACAAGCAAAGTATTAGGGATTATATGGAATGTTGAATTTATATAAAACTTCTCAATAAAATTCATCTAAAAACTTGATAAATAAAAGCTTATTTCCATGATATGATTTTTATTTCAAATCTTTACTTAAACCTAATTATAATATACCTAAGGAAAAGTGTATCTATTGTAATTATACAGCTTAATGAATTTTCAAAGTGAACACACGTGATGTTTATTCCAATTAAGTATACCTGCATAACAAATTATCCCAAAAGGGAATGGCTTAAAATAGCAACATTTATTTTACCGATGAAGTTGAAATTTAGGCAGGGCTGAAATAGCTTGAAAGCTGGGAGCCTGGAATCCAAAGTCTCCTTCTATATTAGTTTGTTCTTGCATTGCCATAAGTAACTACCTGAGATTGGGTAATATATAAAGAAGAGGTTTAATTGGCTCACAGTTCTGCAGGCTGTATAGGAAGCATGACTTGGGAGGCCTCAAAAAAACACAATCATGGCAGAAGGCAAGAGGGTAGCAGGTACCTCGTACATGGCTGGAGCAGGAGGAGGAGAGCGAAGGAGGAGGTGTTACACACTTTTAAACAACTAGATCTTGTGAGAACTCACTGTCACAAGAACAGCAAGGGGGAAGTCTGCCCCATGATCCAATAAACTCCCACCAGGCCCCTCCTGCAACATTGGGGATTACCACTGGACATGGAATTTGGGGGGGGATAAAAATCCAAACTGTATCACCTTCACTCATTGACTGGTTGTTGATACTGCCTGTCGTCTGGGTAGCTGCCTCTATGACCAGAATACTTACAAATGGTCTTTCCATGTGGCTCTGTGACTTTCTTACAGCATGGTGACTGGGTACTAAGTTGAGTGTCCCAAGAAAGAGAGCCAGGTGGAAGCTCTATTGCCTTTTCTAACTGTGCTAGTTTGTTCTCACATTGCTATAAAGAAATACCTGAGGCTGGATAATTTATAAAGAAAAGAGGTTTAATTGGCTTGTGGTCCCGCAGGCTGTGCAGGAAGTATGATTCTGGCATCTGCTTGGCTTCTGGGGAGGCCTCAGGAAACATACAATCATGGTGGAAGCGAGAAGGGGAAGCCAGCACGTCTTACATGGCCAGAGCAGGAACAAGAGAGAGCGGGGAGGTGCCACACACTTTTAAACAACCAGATCTTGTGAGAGTTCTGTCATGAGAATAGCACCAAAGGGAGAAATCTGCCCCCATGATTTAATCACCTCCCACCAGGCCCTACCTCCAACATTGGGGATTACAATTTGACATGAGATATGGGCAGGTATGCAAATCCAAACCCTATCACTAACCTAGTAACCGAAGTCATGCAGTGTCAGTTCTAGTACATTCTATTTGCTAGAGGTGAGTCACTAAGGCCAGTTCTGTATTCAAGGGGAGAAAATTGTGTTTCACCTTTTGATAGTTTCAGAGCATCTGTGGATATGTTTTAAAACCACCACACTTATGTAATAAGCTCCCAGATCAAAAAGCAGAACATTACCAGCATCCCAACCTCCTCTTCCTTTCATTACCTCCCATCCCAAGAGTAATGATTATGCTGATTTCTCTTTTTTTTTTGGAGACAGAGTCTCGCTCTGTGGCCCAGGCTGGAGTGC